AAATTAGGAGCTGCCTGAAATCCCTCTCAGGGGTGCTCCCCTTCACCTTTCATCAGGCTGACCACCTCCATCCGCCTTTCCTCCCCAGCTCCCCAGCAGCCCACTACGCCGGGTCTGGGGATAGAGTCCAATCTCACCAGGCAATCTCCTCAAGGTTGTTCGCAATTATTTTTTGCGCATTAGTCCAGCTTGCTGGACCCTGCCTAAGAAACCACCAAGTGCAGGCCCAATACTAACCTGGACCTCACCGACTCACTCACCAGATAGCACCACCCAGGAAAAGAGGAAAGTGGGGACCTAGTCCCCAGAACTCTTCTTTATAGAAGAGAGAAGTGGCGCTGAAATGAGAGGCTCCCGACAGGACAACACTGCCATCTCCTGGCCATGATGAATATAGCAAGCCTCTTGCACAAAGCTGCACAATACCGTCCTAACGGTATTGATCAGCTTCGTATTGACATGAACTCCCTCCTGATCCCCTCCACCACCCTAGCGATGAGCTTGAGGTAATGACTTATAATTTTTTTTTTTTTTTGAGACGGAGTTTCGCTCTCGTTGCCCAGACTGGAGTGCAATGGCTCAATCTCGGCTCACTGCAACCTCTGCCTCCTGGGTTCCAGCATTCTCCTGCATCAGCCTCCCGAGTAGCTGGGATTAGTGGAGGGCCTTTTCCATCAGCTGGCTGAATTCCACCAAGAGTTTCTCGCTGTTATACTTGTTTTTCCTTCTGCCACGCCATCCCTTCGTCTGCATGTTCCCTGTCCACATCTCTTCACACACCACACCTGGCCTTTTTCCTTCCGTGATCACAATTTCTGGAGGCATTTTCTATCTTTCTCCTCAGCTCCTTCAGCATTTCCTGGCTTTAATCATCTTGAAATCCCTGAGAATTCAAATTTTAAACGCAGAGCTTTTGATCTCATTTGACAAACATAAACTCTGGGGCCCTATTCCCAGAGGAAGCCCCCGTCAGGAACAACCAGTTCTAAGCTCTGACATGAAAAGACTCATCTCTTGCCTGTACCACCCATCCTCTCAAAGCCCCCCATTCCTTCTTCCTGGATATCTCACCCATCTAGGCCCTCCTCCCCTTCTCCGCCACTTCTGCCACAGGCCAAGGAAGTTATGACCACTTGCCTGAACTATCACAATAGCACTCAACTTGCCTGTGAGTCCTTATCCTTCCTCCAAAACCTCCCTCAACACCCCCAGCCCTGTTCTCTATCCTATCACCAGACTGATATTTCCAAAATATACATCTGACCTTGTCACTCCGAGGTTTAAAAACCTGTGTGTTCCCCACTTTCCACATGCTTTCGTCTGAGCAGTGGCTCTCAACCGTGGTCTACGTTGGAATCCTTGGGGGCACTTTAGGAAGCTCAGGTGCACAGAACTCACCTGAGACCCGCTGGAGCAGAGCCTGTGGAGGGTAGGGGAGCTTCTGTACCCATGGAGGCCCCCCCACTGACAGGCAGTGGGCACCGAGAACCACAGTACTGGCCTGGCAAAGGAAGAATCCCCACCCATCTCACCAGCCTGTCTCCCCACCAAGCTCTCCTCACCCCAGTAAGAAACCATTCTGCCCCCCTCAGACACGCCACACTCCACACTTTCTCTTCCTCGCTGCCAAGTCTCCTGTACCCGATGGGCCCCACCCCCCTCGGGCCTCTGGTTTCTTCCCCCCGGAACTCATCCTTCCAGACTTAAAGCCGACATCACATCCCCGTGAAGCTCTCTCCCTTGGCACCCCGGCAGGATGAGTCACCCCGACTCTGCCCACAGTGTTCAGTCCACCTCCCTGTGGACTCACTCTCCCCGGTTTGTTTCCACAGCTGCCTCTGCCACCACTCCAAGAGCTGCTGGAGGGCTGCATTTGTGTTCTGTTCATCACTGTCTTGCTCGTGTCCTGCATAAAAGGCAACACTATGGAAACTTTACCAAGACTTCTATCTTTGCATCTACCCTACTGCCTGGCTTGCAGCCTGTCCCTTCTATGAGAGCTTTTGTTTGCTTTAGTTTGTCCTAAAGGGTAGAAATTGTTCCTATAAGCTTCAAAACCTTGATGGCTCATAACCTGGTTCTAAGAAAATGGACTCTCTCTAAAAAGCAGGTCTATCCAGAAACTCATTCCACGGGCCCATATTCAGCTACCAGATGGGAAGTTGTGAGCACTGGTCACGTCAAAATGAGGTTAGGCATGGAAGTTTCCAGTTGGAATGTTCTCCTCAGTCAGACAAAGTCCCCTTGAAAATGAGTTTCTCCCAACTTCCTTCCTGGTCCCCAGCAGAACCTTTGAAAGGTCAGCTGAGGTTTTCGTCACCCGCTCCTTTGTGCACCATGGGTCCTGCAGGCAAAAGAATGTAAGAAATAGCTCCTGTTTCCCAAAAGTCCTCCTCTTGGCCAGTGGTGGAGAAACCCTGGGGTCAATGAACACAGGGGTGTGCGTTTTATAATTTGCTACCATCACAGACTCCTCCAGAGCAAAAAGACCACCAGCAGCTCCCTCACGCCAGAGCTACTCAGAGTGGACACCACTCCAGCAGCAGCCCTCGGCCCAGACCCACTTAACCAGAGTGTCTGGGGAAGGGACCCCATAATCTCTGTGTTAACAAGCATGTTCAAAGTTGAGAAGGATTGCCAACAACCACCATCCTTGGCGCGAAGTTGATCTCTGGGATTTGATCCATTTTGCAAAGCAGGCAGTTTTCTAAAAAGCCTGGACCACTGTGATGAGCCCGAAGCTTCGGAATCACGAAGTTGAGTACCTTACATGCAAACAGGGTCATGGAACAGCAGAAGGGAATTCCAGCCAGGTGCGGCGGCTAGCACCTATAGTCCCAGCTACTTCCCGAGTCGAAGCTGGAGGATCATTTGAAGCCAGGAGTTCAAGACCAGCCTGGGCACATAGCGAGACCCTGCTATATATCTATAGAGACAGACATAGATATATAGATATAGATACAGATATAGATATAGATATATACGTATAGTTGGGCATGGTGGCACTCACCTGCAGTCCCAGCTACTTGGGAGGCTGAGGTGGGAGGATCGCTTGATTCCAGGAATTCAAGGTCACAATGAGCTATGACCACTCGCCTTTTTTTTTATTCCCTTTATTCTTCCTCACAACACCAGAAATTAAAAGGGAGAGATTTACACTGCTTTCCTCACACAGCCTGGGTGACAGTGAGACTCCATTTCTATTAAATAAAACAATAAAAAACTTTAAAAATGTTTTTAAAAGAAGAGAATTTGAGGAGAAGACTTGGAACTGGCAAGTTGTGCAGACAGACCTTTAAGACAGATGAGGAGACCAGCCTGGGTAAGAGAGCAAGACTCCATCTCTACAAAAAAGTTAAAAAATTAACTGGGCACAGTAGCATGTGCCTGTAGTCCCAGCTACTCAGGAGGCTGAGGCAGAAGGATTGCTGGAGCCCAGGAGTTCAAGGCTGCAGTGAGTCTTGGTCATGTGACTACACACAGCAGCCTGCATGACAGAGGGAGACCCCATTTAAAAACAAAAAAAGACAGACAAGGAAATTAGCTCAGGCTCAGGCCCTGACAAAGCTAGATCAAGACTAGAAGAAATCTGGTCAATTTCTGTAAACATCTCCTCAGAGAGGCTTCATAGTCCAACACCATGTAACACCCTCATCTTCTCATCCTACTTTTTCTTTCATGACACTTCCTACTTCCTGTAACTACACATTTTTTTTCCTTTTTTTTTTTTTGGATGGAGTTTCACTCTTGTTGCCCAGGCTGGGGTGCAATGGCGCGATCTTGGCTCACCGCAACCTCTGCCTCCCAGGTTCAAGTGATTCTCCTGCTTCAGCCTCCCTAGTAGCTGGGATTACAGGCATGTGCCACCATGCCCGGCTAATTTTGTATATTTAGTAGAGATGGGGTTTCTCCATGTTGGTCAGGCTGGTCTCAAACTGCCAACCTCAGGTGATCTGCCCACCTAGGCCTCCCAAAGTGCTGGGATTACAGGCATGAGCCACCGCGCCCAGCTGTAACTACACATTTATTTGTTGTTTAATGTCAGCCTAGAACCACGAGAATATTAGCACAAGGACGGGATTATGATGTTATGTCCTTGATTAACACCAATGCTTAGAATGGAACTTGGCACATAATAGGGCTTCATCTCTATTTGTTGAATGAGTGAATGTAAACAAATGAATGAATGACAGCACACAAGCTCCATTAATACAAAGATAGTGTCTATCTCGCTCACCTCTGTTTCCCCAGGCACACTGCCTGATACAAAGCAGACAAATACTTAATAAACTCTTGTTGAATCAATTAATAACATGCAGGTACATTTTTTCATCGTCAGTGTCAACACTAAAACTGTATTTCACTGAGACCACTCATTGTCAGAGCAAGCAGTTCCATGGTGTTGCTTAATGTGTGTGTCTGGGGAAGGAAGGCAACAGAGGGGGTGCTGAAGACTTTCAAGGTTGGAGACACCTAGGCCATAGACTACACCCTTGTCCTGGAGGGGTATGGCAGCTTTCAGGGCATTGCCTTCTTTCCCATTCACTCACTTCTGTATTCTAAATACCATTATTTCCCATCATGCAAATCAGAGTCCACAGCCAACTAAATTCCATTACAATGCACAAATTGTACCTTCACTTGCACTTAGGTTCCATTTAGAATTCAAGGGCACTTATGTGGGGGGAAATAACACAAGGCAATTTTTTTTTTAATCAAGGGGTTTATTATTTTTTTTCTTCAATAGGAATTTAAGTTACTTCATTGGTCACTGACTTTGCTACAGAAAACCCTCCAAAATGATAGAAAATAAGCAAAAAGGATCTGATCTTGCCAACTGTTCGATCAAACAGCGAGACTCACGGTGCTGAGCACTCCCAGAAAACCCAGGGCTCCGACAGTGCGGGGCGGGGAAAAGAGGGAGTCTGAAGCCTGGTAGGCATGAACGGGAGTTGCAGAAGAGTCTTTGGGAGGAACCAATTATCAAGAGAGTCAAATTATTCAAAGTTGAAATGAGTGAGAATTTATTCACAACATATGCAGTTCTATGGATGCAATTATGCAAATGACTGAAAAGAGGGCGCTTAAAAATAGCAGTAAGGCGGCAGTTTTGGTCTCCAGCATGCTGGATACTAGTCAGAACTTAGCTAAACGTAAGTCCATCTTAGCCCCTTTTATTCCCTTTATTCTTCCTCATAACACCAGAAATTAAAAGGGGGAGGTTCACACTGTTTTCCTAAAAACCCAGTGGGAAAGGAGTTGACAAACGTTCGGTTGCCTCAGCCCTAACCCCTGGGTCATGAGAACCCCCCTTCTGTGCTTCTTTCCAGAGAAAAGATTTGCATTAGCAGAGCTTTAATACATAGATGTAAATTTCCAGAGATTTCCAATTGGTGAAGTGTTGGGTGATTCCTTCTCTTGCCCTAATCCAGTATATTTGTTGCCGAAGATAAGCTGAGAAACCTTGCCATCCCAGTCCTGTCTTTCCTACGCATACTGTGTAACTACTGTTTTGATTTTCAAGACCCTCATAAAGACGGGCAAAAATGCAGGTGAGAGGGAAGGAACCTCCATGGCTTGAAGCTTGGTAACATGATTTGTTCTCTGGGCTATCAGGCGATCCCAGAACCCAGAGGCTCTGAGCACTCCCAGACCCCAGTCACCACTACCCACCCCGCCCCAAGCTCCCACAGCTGGTGTTGTCTCCTGCAAGGACTGCTCACACGGGCCATCAGAACGTTCGCAGCCTTCCTCCCAGCGTCCGCTTCTTTCTGCCCAGGACAGGCTCCTTGCTGTAGCCATGAGGGCGGATTTTCAACTCCACGTAAGGAATGGAGAATTCATGTCCTTTCCAAGGCTCCCAGTTCACCCCCTACATAAAATACATAAATAAATAAATAAAGCCACATCAAGAAGAGGCTCTTGGGAGGAGGGCAGGGTGGGTTATGGTACAAAGGAATTAATTAGTCACCAATGAAACCACTCCCTCTCTGCTCAGGGGAAAGAGACGGGGGTGATGAGAAGGGAAGGGAGGGCAGGATCCAAACACACGCGCCCTCTGCTGGGCAGCTGGGGTTAGACTGGCTGAGGACTTGGACATTTGGAAGCTGGCGGTCTCTATGGTGGGAGCAAGGGGGTGTGAGCCCAGGAGGTGGGTGAGGCCAGAGCAGCCACAGAGACAACACAGGGGTCAACCAGGCCGGCAACGGGCAAATTATCTTTGCTTCCCTCTTTTCCTTTCCAAAAAATTAAAGGCAAAAATAAACATATTAATTGGCCAATTGTGTAAAATCATTTTCAATTTAGACTGTTTAGATACTAGCTCTGGGGTAACAAATAGCCTGCTGAAAACTAAATTTCATTTTATGTCTTTTGACTGGTGAGTGCAATAATATTTAATTCACTTAATAACCTTGCAACCTGGCCAATAAAAAGCCCAAGTGACCAATTTTATGTATTTTAATTTGTGAGGTAAATAATAAACAAGAAGCTAAATGCCTTGCAGACTGTGAAAAGTGCATTAACCAGATGAATGTCTTTTATTAGCAAATATGGGATGGTTCAGGGCATCCTGCTTGCTCATTTCCAATATTTGATCTCCTATCCCAGGCTTCCCTGAGCCAGCCCACACGCTGCCACCATGATTCATGGGCCAACCCTCCCCAGCTTCCCTGGGGGCAAATTTCTTCTTCCCTTTGAAAAATCACATAAAGATTGGAAGTCCCCGCAGCCTGGTCAGAGCCAAAGTAATCAAAATGTACCTGGACTTTGGATGTGCTAATATTTACAGTAATATTGGTACAAGGTGAGTTCTGAAGAGGTGGCTTCCTGGAGGCGTAGGATCAGGGCTGTGAATGGGAAATTAGAAACCTAGGATGGGGACTCAGGGTTTGTGGAGGGGAGAGGATTAATGATGAGCAGAGACAAAGATGCAATTTTCAAGAAACTGTGAGGGAGCAGGCAGGAAGTGCCCTGCAGCTGTCAAAGAGTCAGGATGATGCACTGGGGCAGAGGAGGCTTGAGAAATAGCAGGTGGGACAGTTTCAGAGCAATGTGGGGAGAGGACCCCTCCTGGACCCCTGGGCCCTGGGTGCACACTCCCAATGCGGAAAGACTGGTCTAGCTCAATGTTCTGGGCAGGCTTTGGGTGAAGTGGACCCAAGAGTAGGTCTGACCTAAGGCACAAAAGACTATTTTCCTGGTGATCAAAGGACTTGAGACAAACAGCTTTTTTTTTTTTTTTTTTTTTTTTTTTTTTTTTTTTCGACAGGGTCTTGCTCTGCCACCCGGGCTGGAGTGCAGTGGCTTCATCATGTCTCACTGCAGTCTCAACCTCCCAGGCTCAAGTGATCTTCCTATCTCAGCCTCCCTAGAAGCTGGGACTACAAGTGCACACCATGATGCCCAGCTAATTTCTGTATCTTTTGTAGAGATGGGGTTTCACGATGATACCCAGGCGATACCCAGGCTGGTCTCAAATTCCTGGGCTCAAGCAATCAGCCCACCTCAGCCTCCCAGAGTGCTGAGATTACAGGCATGAACCACCGTGCTCGGCCAAAAGAAATAGTTCTTGTTCAACTAGGAGAAAAACTAGAAAAAAGTAGGCAGTGTTTATTATAAACTGAATGTTTGTGTCTCTTCAAAATTCATGCAGTAAAGCCCTAACCACCCCCTACCAACATGATGGTATGTAGAGGGGGCCTCTGGGAGGTAATAAGGTTTACATGAGACCATGAGGTGGAGCCCCCATGATGGGACACATGCCCCTATATGAAGAAGAGATCAGAGCTCCTTTCTGTCCCCCATGTGAGGACGCACAGCCATAGTCAGCCATCCACAAGCCAGCAAGGTCCACCAACAAGAACCAAATCTGCCAGCACCCTGATCTTGGACTTCCTAGCCTCCAGAACTGTGAGAAATAAATGTCTGTTGTTGAAGCCACCTGGTCTGTGGTATTTTGTTAGAGCAGCCAGAGCTGACAGTGTCCATGTGTGAGCTAGTGAAATGAGACAGTGTGTGGAGCACATCATCTGTCATTACATGGCAGTGGGCAGCCCAAGCTTTCCCCGCACCTGCCCCTAGGCAAGTGTGCAGCACTGGGAATGCAAAACAAGCAGGGCTGTGGCCATCAGGAAGGGGAGGCCACAACCTCCAGGCCATGGAGCCTGGAGGAGAAACTCTACTGCTTTCACTGGAAGCTTCAGAAGGAGAGGGGCTGCCAGACTGGCCTGGAGGGTGTCCCTTTGGAAGCTGAATGTGGGCACACCCTGGGACAGAAAAGACATTCACTTGTCACCTACCTCACTGTGCTTGGTCTCCCCATATCTGCCATTGGGGTTGGCCAAGTGGCAGTTCTTATACCACCAGCCACCATGATGTGTCAGGGCACAGTTGCTAAGTGCAATATCGTTGTCTCTGTCGAAAGTTGTAAACTTCCATCCATTGTGGTAAGAAAGAGCATCCCCTGCAGGAGAGAAGAGACAGAGGTGAGAGCCTAGGGCTAGCCACCAAGGAGATGATCAAAAGAGGACCCAGCAGGAAGATCTCTAGGCATGAAAATGCCAAGGATGCAGCCAGTCATGTCACAGGTAGTCGCTGCTCTCTCACAGCCCAAATGGGAACATGACACATGTGAACAGGCTCTTTTTCCTGGCCTGTACCCCAACTTCAGGCCTGTTTCTCCAACAGTCCTCATAGCATTTTCACTTGGAAGCTCCACAGTCAGATCAAACATCCAAACATAACAACTCTCCCCAAGTCCCTGACCACGCCCCACACAAGAGCACCACTCTCCACTCTCCCCCGTCTGCCTTGGGTCCACTCCTCTCCCCACCACCCAGACCTGGAACATGGAGCCATGTTTGACAATCCCTTCATACCCTTTCTCAAGCCCTCCCTCCTGCAGATCACTCACATACACCCCTACGTCTCTGCTCCCATGACACCCACCCTTGGCCTTCTCTCATCCTGGGTCTGTGTTAACAAAACAGCCTTCTCTCTGGCTTCTTGCCTGCCAGCCCCTCTGGAGTTCAGACGTCCATTTTCATCACCTCAGGCCCAACAGTCTACTTCGTACCACAACGAGGTGAATTCCTGTTCCATGCCTTGCAGGCCTGTAGGTTGGCTGTGCCCTGTGCACAATCTTGCATCCCACCATCTCCACCACGCACCCTCCAGTGTGGACCAGCCCACCGTCCAGGGGATTTCTCTCTGCCCTCATCTGTCCAAATAATCCTAACCATCCTTCAAAGCCTAGCTCAGGCCCACTTGTAAGGAAGATTCTCCTTATTGGTCCTCCCACGCACCCTCCTAACACACACACAAACACACGCACATGCACACACACACGCACACACACACCCCTACACACAAACATCCCTGAACTTCCAGAGTCCTTCTGGAGACACATGTAAAATTCAGTCCTTCCTTACATCCCATCTGGAAAACTGCCTTAATTATTTTGCTTGTGTATCTCCTGTTTCCCTCTCATATTTGTCATCCTTTTATAAACTTTCTTTTCCTGCTCATAAAAGGCAATAAGGGCCCATATCAATCACAAGCTTCATCAAGCTTTGTTCCTGCAATAAGGATTCTTACATTTATATCTCAGCTCTGAGTTTAGCAATCTTCTTCACATGTGCATTCTCATTTCACTCTCACAGCAAACCTGTGAGGTGGGCAGGGCAGCTCTTGGTCCCATGAGGAAACAAATTCAAAAAGGTTTGACTCTAGGAACTTATTAAGGTCCCACACTCCACAAACAGCAGAGCTGGGACTCAAATCTCTGTCCTGAGATTCCAAGTCCAGGGTTCTTTCTGACACACCAATCCACCTATGGCTTCCTTGTTTCAATGGGGGGGCTCCATCTATCAATGGTTCTTCAAGTGGGGTTCCCAGACCAGCAGTGTCCACATCCCCTGAGAACTTGTTAGAAATGCAAATTGGCCAGGTGCCGTGACTCACACCTGTAATCCCAGCACTTTGTAATCCCTGCAAGGCCGAGTCAGGCCCGTCATAAGGTCAGGAGTTGGAGACCAGCCTGGCCAATATGGTGAAACCCTGTCTGTACTAAAAATACAAAAATTAGCTGGGTGTGGTGGTGCACTCCTGTAGTCCCAGCTACTCTGGAGGCTGAGGCAGAAGAATCACTTGAACCTGGGAGGTGGAGGTTGCAGTGAGCCGAGACCATGCCACCATACTCCAGCCTGGGTGACAGAGCAAGACTCCATCTCAAAAAAAGAAAAAAAAAAAAAGAAGGAGAAAAGAAAAGAAAAATGCAAATTATTTGGCCTCAGCCCGGACCTACAGAACAGAAAACTACAGGGTGGGCCCTGGCAATCCACGCTTTGACAAGCCCTTCAGATGATCTGACACAGTACAGTGTGAGAACCTGTTCTACAACTTCACTCATTTGATTTTAGGGAACATTTACTGAACACCTGCTATGGAGCAGCACATGCTTGGCTCTGTGAACACAAAAATGAGGAGGTCCTTGCTCTCAAAAACGTTTTTGGAGTGAGTTGGGTGAATATGCAGAGTTGGTAGTATATGTTAAAAGGGAAGGTCCTAATTTGCCCCCCAAGTCTGCAATCTCACCAGCAGCTCATTTATACCTCACCCGGAAAAAGCATGAGAATTCCCGGGCCACAGAGGCCACTTCCACGCAGACACAGCAGATGGGTCTGTCTCCAGTAGTTTTCTCCAATCCAAGAAAGTTATATTGTCATGCTAGTCATATACATTTCCTCCTCCCTCCAGACTTCCTACAGAAAGTTAACCACAGCTTGAAATAACATGCAGTGTCTCCCTTAGTAACCTTCTTTAATGAGCACAGCTTACCTAATTTACATAGAAGGTTCCCAGGGCTGCTTTCTAAGAATCTGTGCAGAGGCTCCCTTAAAGACATGTTTGTGATGATCTAAACCTGGGCACTGGGATAAAGAAATGTAAAGCAAGTGTTCACCCAAATGTGGGAGGTCTTTTTCTGCAGAAGGATTTTCTACCTTCTAGAAACTGAAGCCATCCTAATGTTCAGAGTGTAGAGAGTGAGAATGAGGACTGGAGGGGTTCGTGGCAGGCCCATGAAGGGCTGCACCCAAACTCAGAGGTGACCAAGCTGGTCACCATCCATCTCATCAAAATGTCCCTCTGAGACCCACTCTCCCCCTCTAGGATTCACCAGGACGGGAAAGATGGCCCAGGCAGCTGCACCTCCAAAGATCAGGAGAAGCCATTAACATCACATCCTCCGTCAGTCACACACAGACACAGTACTGTGTGTCTGAACCTTGAATGTCTTTTATTTCAGGATTAAGAATGGATGATTACAAATGATTTGTGCCATTTCTAGCTTTCCCTTTTGTCCATGTACCCATTATTATTTTTTTTTTCAAGTGCCAGCATTTAAAAATCCATCCCTGGCCCCCAACCCACTAAATGTTTCCAGAGCTCCCCAGTCACATTTCCAAGTGCCCCCAGGGTGGGACCCATCCCTGGTTGTGCTCCCACTGCAGCCCATGCAGGTGGGACTTGAAATCAGCTGTAAATAATTGGTTAGCCCTAGAATTCATTCTGCACCATTCTGAATGCCTAGCTCTTTATGTTTTCATTATGATTTCTAAATAGATGAATAGCATTTTAAAGGTGGAGCTCATAAGATGCTCCCTGCCCCCACTCAAAGACTCAGAATCAGAAACTAAATTTACACATCATTTCCTTGCTGGAATTTGCCTCATGAAGGAAAAATGGGCTTTCTGATAAGACTTGAGTGGAAGTCAAAAGTTGAGGGCCCACCTGGACAGTCTCAGCCTTAAGCCACACATTCCTGCCAGGCTGCATGCACGTCAGTTCTAATCAGAGCTAAAATGATGATAGAGGCTGGGGAGAGCTGGTGTGTGCAGGGAGGTATCAAAATGTTCACCTTTCATTTGAATGCCATGTCCTCTAAACAGTGCCTCGGCACTCAAGACATGAGTAGCCAGGAGCTTTCTAAATTCTGAAACTCTCCTCACGGACGATCAGCATACATAAGGAACGTTAAGACTCCACTAATGCTACCATTGTAATTCAGAATTTAAAAGCGGGAATGATAGTACACATGGGAAGACTAGATCGCTGCCTAAATGCTGTGTGAAAATCTCCTATTAAAAAATAAATTCTATTAAAAAATACATCCTCTACTGGCTGGCACTGTTGGCCTGAACAACCTTAGAACAGGAATTATCCCCTCATTGCAGGTAACATGCAAACAGATTACCTGGGAGGAGAATTAAAATAATTCCCAAATATGTTGACTCCCTTTCAGTCTCTTTCCCATTGGCATCAGTTCATTTGCTGGATCATTTTAGCACAGGCTTCAGAAAAGGCAAATGGTAATGGCCAAGGGAAAGGAAATATGCAGCCTGGAGGACAGGCCTGAGTGAGGCTCATGACCAGGAGGCCAGGGAGGGCACTGGGTCTCAGGGAGAGACGTGGGGCATGGGGGCCAAAGAAAAACACCCAACTTCATATTTTGTACAGGGAGGGTCCCACACTCGGAGCTTATGTAGACTTCTTTAACCCAAGAAGGAAAGGCTGAGGCTAACTGATGGCCATGATGAAGAGCAGACAACAGGGTACTGGAAACCAAAGAAATGATCAGATGGACTCCAGGCAGACTGAAGAGGCCCAAGGGTTCTGGGACAGACTGGAATGTGTGTACTCTGTTATACCAAAGGGTTGGAAGAACCTGGAATAAGCTGTCAGGAACATAGTCTGATCTCACTTAGAGATGGGGTGGGAGCATATGGGCAGTGTGCTTAGTCATACAAAAGAGCATCTTTAAATCCCCTCTCATTCAGTTAATATCCTCATAATCACATGAATGTCCATCTATGTTTCCCAATTGTATTATAACTGTCTTTTTCTATACCTGAATTTCATGTTTTATACAGTCATGCCTTGCATAAGAACATTTCAGTTAACAAGGGGCTGCATATACGACAGTGGTCCCATAAGATCGCAATAAACCTGAAAATTACCCAGTGACATCACAGCTGTCGTAAGGTCGCAGACCAATGCATCACTCATGTGTTTGTGGTGATGTTGGTGTAAACAAACCTACCAGTCATACAAAAGTCTTGCACATATCTTTACATACAGTAAATAATACTTGATAATGATAAAACAATTATGTTACTGGTTTATGTGAATAATACTATACTTTTTATTGTTATTTTAGAGTGTATGACTACTTATCAAAAAAAAAAAAAAATCCTGTAAAACAGCCTCAGGCAGGTCCTTTGGGACATACTCCAGAAGAAGGCATTGTTATCCCAGGAGATGACAGCTCCATGTGTGCTATTGCCCCTGAAGACCTTCCAGCGGGACAAGATGTGGAGGTGGAAAACAGTGATATTGATGATCCTGACCCTGTTGCAGGCCTAGGCTAATGTGTGTGTTTGTGTTTTAGTTTTTAACACAAAGGTTTAAAAAGTAAAAAATAAAAGTAAAAAATGTTTAAATAGAAAAAAACTTACAGAATACGAATATAAAGAAAATATTTTTGTACAGCTGTACAATGTGCTTGTGTTTTAAGCGAAGTGTTACTCCAAAAGAGTCAAAAAATTGAAAAACATGTTAAAGTTTATATAGTAAAACAGTTACAATAAGCTAAGGTTAGTTTTTACTAACGAAGAAAGAACATTTTTAAATAAATTTAGTGTAGCCTATGGGCAGTGTTTCTGAATTCGACAGGAGTGTACAGTCAAGTCCTGGGCCTTCACATTCGCTCACCACTCACTGACTCACCCAGAGCAGCTTCCAGTCCTGCAAGCTCCATTCATGGTAAGTACTCTGTACAGACTGACCATTTTTTATCTTTTATACCATATTCTCACTGTGCCATTTCTATGTTTACATATATTTAGATCCGTAAGTACTTACCATGGTGTTACCATTGCCTACAATATTTAGTAATATGCCATACAGGTTTATAGCCTAGTAGCAATAGGCTACACCATATACCTAGGTCTATAGCAGGCTCTGCCATCTAGGTCTGTGTAAGTGAATTCCATGTTTGCACAACGATGAAATGCCTAACAATGCAGTTCTCAGAACGTATCCCTGTCGTTAAGCAATGCATGACTATGTTATATTTCAAGTGCACGTAGCACAGCCTGTCTCCAGCCCATGGAGACCTAGGACTACTGAGGAAAGAAGTGACAGTATCCAAAGGCAGCAGGGATCTTCTGGCTGCAATGCTTTTTTTTCAAGGATTGTCTTTTCCCTGAAATAATTATTTGTATACTTTTTCTCACCCAACCCCTACTCAGAATCCTGGAAGTTTCCTCATGTCTGTAGCCAAAATGCCTCATACTCTGGTAGGTGCCTACCACTCCCTCTTTGTCTCCTCCCATGTCACCATGTCACCAAACTCACACTTTCATTCACCCCTGTGGAACCTATTGGGTCTCAGGGACTATTATGTAAGACACTAAACATCTGTAAGATTATGTATATAGAAAAGTCCTGCTAGCAATTTCATTTTTTAAACTCTCCCACTCTGTACCAGGCTCTGAGATAGGCCCTGGGAAGTAAGAACAAATGCAAAATTCATCTGACTATTGTTTAAGTGAAATTGGAAGATCTCAAAGAAAGGTTTGCATTCACAGTTGGCCACCCCAGATCATGGCCCCAGACACTCAGAAGTTCTGTTCACGGTCTTCTGCCATCAGGGCTCCTTGAGTAGACAATCTTGAGAAGTCCAGCAAGGCTGTGAGATAAACTCCAGCGTTCTTTCCTCCACTCAGTCCCCACTCACCCCGAAGCCCCCAGGCCTGGAGAGCCCTCTCTTTCCTCCCACTCGAGTTTCCCCCGTTTTGCAGATCCAACTCCCTCCAGTTGCTTCATCCTCCGTGTGCTCACCTTCTCCACACTCCTGTAGCTCTTTATGTTTCTTACCCCTTATGTGACTGTCTGCAAAAGTTACCTTCTTTTGTTTTCACCTATCTACATTTAAGTCTAAGGAGAGAGACCGCCATGTCTTATACAGTCAGTCAATCTGGCTGGTAACGCATTCCTATATAAATACACCAAAGTCAAAAACATGCAAATGTCAAAACACAGGCTTACTTGTTAGGGTTTAAAAACCATAAATACAGCTTTTAAAATATTAGTATTAAAACAATAACCACACCTCCCCCTCTTACACAAAATATTTAATTTACTGGTATCATTCCAGCATTTCAGTCATGTTGCTTAATTTTGTTCTTTTTCTTCACAACCAAACACACCAGCAACTGGCTTAGCTCCAATGAGCAGCCACTAGAGGATAAAGGTTCCCCGACTTTCCACTGAACTGCTCATTTCTGTGTTGTCACAGTTGAATTAAGTTAATGAGTCCTACACTTATTATTTGAATCAGCACTTTCATTGTTCTGTTTTTATAGCAAAGTGCCAGTAAAGGCTCAAATAATCTCACACACACACACACACACACACACACACAACTGTGCAAAGATGACAGCCACACTGCTAAAGTTGAATGAAAGACTGACAAGCATCAATAAATTGTTCAGAATATGGGCTCATCAGCTAATGTACAACGGCCTGAATAAGCGGAGCACAAGAGGAGGGTTTTTACTGGGCATGGGGGCGGGGGGGTTGTGACGTATAACATACACAATTTCCAATTTTATGGTGGTCAAGGATTGCTTTAACTACTTGCTCACTCCTGACCCCCTGCAGACAGTAGGGCCTCCACTGTCAATGAGAACAATTCACCTCCACAGAATAATATTCCATCCCCCAGATCAGTGGCATACAGCAAACCAATCCTTATACAACAGACAGCAAGAGACCTTTGCAGCAAGAAAACATTTTTCCTCACCCGCTGTGCCTCTGTATTTCCCAACTGTCAGCTTATACCGCTCCTTGCTGGAGGCCACTTGGAAGAAATCATATATAGCATAGGCGGATTCATTGGCAGTCTGTAAATCCACTCTCACCTCATACCGCGTTGGAGTGCCGGTGGTGAGGTTGTGTAGCTTGTCAAGTCCTAAAAATAAAAAACGGAATTCCAACACCCAATCCACCCATGTGTGCCACTGAGTACTCAACATGTGCGTCTGAGGCTTTCAGGACCTAAAGTCACTTTAGTCTTTACCTTCTCTGCTAATAAGGGGCAGTCTCAGCACTTTCTCTTTCGGGGACTCATAGTCACGCTAAGGAGTGTGGAGATCATGTTCTATGGAAGGGAGCAGTGAGGGGTCAGGGTAACCCCAGAAGGAATCTGCCTCCATTGGCTCCATCCCTCTAAAACAGAAGCAGTTGTATTTATCATCCATTTATCTCACCAAGTAGGAGGGCGGGTCAATGACTCATCCTAAGATCTCCGAAGAGATTTTATACTGAACAAACCACAACATCATCTATTCTATTAGACACTGGGTATCTGAATCATGACTTTTTAATTCTTCATTTCCCAATTCATGCTTTTGGCTATTTCCCTCTCTGTGAACATCTGCTCCAGAGGAGAGCAGAGGGAAAAGGGGGAAAACATTGCCCATAATGCCTGGCATCACCACCAGAATTTTAGAGACTGCTAGAGTGACCTTCCAGTAATGACCCAGCATCCCAATCCCTGAACTTTTTTTCTACTACTGTGCCTTCTAAGATCTTCAGGCTGCAGGCAGATCCTGCAGAGCTTAAATCAGCATAAAACCCCTGTGACCACCCTACCTTTCAACAAGTTCAGAGTGCAGGAGAGCCTTCCCATCAACACGCCCACCAAGACCCTGCTCGGCACAGTCCTCTGTCTCCCTGCCACTGGGGCCTCTCTGTGAAGGTGGTGAGCTTCCCTAAGCCTCCTAGCTAGCTTGTCCTGGGAGAAATCACCCCCCACAGCCCCAGCCTCCTGGATTCTGAGATCATACCAAGCCAGAACTCCTTCGTGGGGTCCCCAAAGCCTTCCACATAGGTCCTCCATCGCTTGAAGAAATCCAGCTGCCCAGTGTTCCGCCTCTGGAAGACCTGAGAAGGGAGACGAACACTTCATTCTGACCCTCCAAACAGATATAGGTGCTGGGAGACAAGAGAAAACCAAGAACTTGCTCATACACTGCCTTCCTCCAGCTAGCATGTCTTTCTTTTTAGAGAGGCTTTTTATTTATATGTCAGTAGATTCACTATATTAATAAGCATTATTTATATGTACAGTAGTATGTCAGGTACTAAGGCGTGTAGAGCAAAAGCAGAGAAGCTTCCTGCCCTCAAGAAATTTCAGTTCTTTCCATTATTTGTGTGATTCAGTTGCTAGTGTGGATTGTCTAGGGCAAGACATTCCAGATCTCTGCCAATTCTCACATGTAACTTTCAACACCCATTTAACTCAATTGGGGCACATCACATTTATAGCATCTTTTTTCCCCTTTTCTCAAATAGTTTGAGAGTAGAAATTATTTTTTAATTCACCTGATTCTTAGCATAGCGATTATTTAATACTTATGGAGAAAAAAGTTCACACAACAAGTATTTACTGAGCATCTACTATGCACTAGGCAATATACAAGATAGTGTGCAAAGTGAATAAATCAGAAATGGTCCTTTCCCTCCTGGAGCTAATAGTTCAGTAAATACAATTACTAAATTAAATAATTTTTTAAATGCAGTTAAAACTGTAATAAGGGCTATGAGGGAAAGATGCAACAGAACTGGAAGAGCGTAAAACAGGAGGACCTGACCAAGGAGCCAAGAAACCACCCCCAGGACATGGCTGAGCTGCAGGATGAGTAGGAGTGGTCAGGCAAGAGCACGGGGAGCAATGTTGGGGCTGCTGGGGGCTGAGGAAGGGATGGAAAGGGAGGCTGAGAAGATGGCAAGAGTCAGTCCTGGTAAGCTTTTAAAAGAGATTGTTGAAGACATTGGTCCAGGTAAGAACGGTGGAAATTATTGCAGAGTTTTAAGCAGGAAATGAGATCCGATCAGATTCTTCTCTAGCTAGAGTGCATGGAATGGACTGGTTAGCGGTAAAAGTGGAAGTGAGATGACTAGTTAGGAGACCACTGTAGAGTGCAGATGAAGGGGGACAGTAGCTTGGATGAGGGATGCCCTGAGGATAGACGGAAGTGGATAAAAGGTAAAGTTGACAGGGCTGGTGACAGAATGTGGAACTGAAAGAGGAGGAAGTCAAGGTAAGATAAGTTTCTTATAGTTTGGGCTTGCAGATGACTCTTCCCTCAGCTATTCACTGAGATGGGAGATTCAGAGAGGACAGGTTGTAGTTTTTGGGGTTTTTGTTGTTGTTGTTGTTTGTTTGTTTTTTGAGGTGGAGTCTCACTTCATTGCCCAGGCTGGAGTGTAGTGGTGTAATCTTGGCTCATTGCAACCTCCACCTCCCAGGTTCAAGTGACTCTCCTGCCTCAGCCTCCCGAGTAGCTGGGATTACAGGCACACACCATCATGCCCAGCTACTTTCTGTATTTTTAGTAGTGACAGGGTTTTACCATATTGGCCAGGCTGGTCTTGAACTCCTGACTTCATGATCCACACACCTCGGCCTCCCAAAGTGAAAGTGTGAGCCACCATGCCTGGCCGAGTACAGATTTTATGAGTGGGTCATGAGCTCATTTGGGGATGTGGTAAGTGTGAGTTATTTCTGAGGTATGCTGGTGAATGAAAATATCACAGAGCAATTGGATGTAAGGGCTGGAGTTCTAAAGAGAGGTCTAGGCTAGACTTATTGAGGTAGAGTGTGTCTCAGGCAATGCTAGGAGTTCACCGAGTCCCAGTTCACTTTCTTCTTTCCAGGAACACAGGAGGATGTCCATTTACAGCTTCCCTTGCATTCAAGTTGGAGCCATGTGACTATTTGCAGCCAAAAGGCTGTAGGTGGGAGCCTTTTGTGTGTGGGTGGGTTCTCCACACTCTCTCTTCTACTGCCATGCACCACAGGGCCATGGGAAAGGCCACACACTGAAACAGCAGAACTATGAGATGGAAACAGCCTGAATCCATGAGTCACACTTGTAACTGGCTGCCAAACCTGCACAACACATTGCACACATGAGAAAAATACATTGTGTTTGTTCAATTGCTGGAATTTAGAGTTGGTTTGTTACTGCAGCATAGCCTATTCTATCCTAGTTAGTGCAGAGAAGCATGGGACCCAGAGGAGGGTAAAATGAAGTCATGGGAAAAGATGAGACCACGTAGGAAGAAAATGGGAACTGAAAAGATAAAGTGGCCTAGAATCAAGCCTTGAGGACATCCAGTATGTATAACGAAAAAGGACAAATCCATCAAGGAAAGAGAAGGGGCAACAGAAGTGGAGAAAAAGAAACTAGAAAAATATGGAATCACAAAAGCCACAAAGAGAAAGGTGTGGTCAGTAGTGTCAAGTACTGATGAGAGGTCAAGGAACAGGAGGTCAAAACCATCCCTAGAATTTAGTGGCACAGAAATCACTGGTGATTTTATCTAGGGCTGTGTCAGTGTGAGATATGGACAGAAGCCAAACTGGAACGGACCAAAGAATGAGTGAGAAGCAAGAAAATGGAGGCAGAGTTGGGTACCATTCACCAAAGTGTGGACTGCTTTCTTTTCAAAAATTCCTCTGTTTGGAGAAGGAAGGCACTGTTCCAGTTACAGTAAATTGGATTCTTTTATAGGAAGTAAATCTGAAAAGTACCTACACACACCTGTGTACACTACTGAAATTGATAACACATCTAATTCCACATGACCTTGAGAACCAAGCTGAACGCCATCCTAGCTAACCTCAGGAACGATTCCCACTAACCAAAGGCTGGAATTGCATTTCTCTCTCTGCCTATTTTTCTTTGCATTCATTCAGATGCAGAAGCCCCAACACAAAATCTAATCTCCCTCCTTTCCACTAGACTTCACAGCATGTGCCTTGAAGTAAAACACATTATCTTGAATTTATAAGGTAAACCGCCTGACATTTGTGCATTCTTTATATTTTTCTCCGGAAAGAGAAAGGGAGGGAGGAGACAGTAGGTTACCCTGCAGCAATGCTGAGAACTCCACATGGGAATTCATATTTAACTCCTTCCAAAGCACCCATCCAAGTTTGCTGGCCAAGGAGTGGGGCACCATGGATGCAGAAGGCTCCAGGCTCCAAGTCAGACCACAGCCACTTCCTGGGCAGGGGACGGGTGGGGATTGCTGAGGCAGCCTCTTCTATTCCTGACCCTCGGCCAGCTCATGGTAAAACAGGAATGGAAGGGAAGAGAAGAGCCTACCTCATAAGACTGCTGGGAGAACTAAATGAGACACCACATAAAATGTTCTATAAATGGGCAAGAGCTGCCAAACAGAATATAGGAAAGATCACGACAAACAGTTAACACCGCGTTAACACTGTTGCTCTCTTTCCCCTTTGCTCAAGGATCCATCTTTTAAAGGTGCCCTGTTTCCTTCTTGGCTTCCCTCACTTTTTTTTCACTCATTTATTCACTTAGATGACAATCATTGCGTGAGCATCTGTTGAGTGCTGGCCCTGGAGCAAGTATTTATGATGCCATTTGACAGATGTGGAAGTCCAGAAAAGTGAGTATCCAGAGTGCTACAGCTAATCACTGATACAGAGACCACGCATAAACCTTATCTTTCTGTCAGAAAGTTTGAAAATACCAGCCCTACTGAATCTGTTTCGCAAATAGCATTTCCAAAGACTCTGAGAACTTGCTAATTTCCTAACAAGGTGCCTGATCCCACCCCTTCCTTGAGACTCTTGTTGTACCGGGGACAGTGGAAATTTAGGACAGATGTAGCACTGATGTATGGCTCCACATACATCGGGTCAAATCACGTTCCCACCACAAGGTCAGGCTCAAATCCAGCCTTTCCTTCCTAGGATGCATTACAAAGGTATTTGGTCTCTCTCCAATCAATGCACCCAGTGCCCAAGCTTGATAGGAGCTTTCCAGCGGGGTGTGTGTGTGTGTGTGTGTGTGTGTGTGTGTGTAACAATACTTCATCTGGGCCAGGGAAGCTTCCAAAAATGATTCTGGTGCTCTTTGCATTACTGTTTTGAACCAGAACCAGCTCTATACTTACTAGCTGTGTGCTTGGGCAACCTTGACAAGCCTCACTTTTCCAAACTGTTAGATTAACATGTTAACAGCCTCTCGGTCACAAGCTTAAATCAAGGCTTCAGCAAGTTCATTAATCATAGTAAATCATAAAGTAGTTAAGCCAGACCGTGGCACATAGAGATATAAGAAGTTGTTATGATCACTCAATAAATGTTGGTTTGCATTTTATTATATCCGTTTCCAAATGAACGGACCCACAGGGACCACTGATGCATCTGGATCAGGCAGCCTTAACTGACTCACTCAGAATCTAAGCCACTCTCATTTGATGAGATGAAAACACCCTATAATGAACTATTAGGGTATCATAAAACCCCCTGACCAAGTAAGTTTCAAAGGGGGAAAAAAAAACCTCTTTATGTCTCGTTCTATACTAGAGTGGTCATTGCATTTTAGAACTTATTCAATGCCCTGAATGACTAAATACAGAGAAAAAAAGTCAAACTTGCACTGAAATGTCTGTGGAAAGAGCCTCTAATGCAGCCCTTAAGACTTTCAAGATGGAAAACAAAGATGGAAATATTTGAGACATTAAGTGTTCCCTGATGTTCTTTCCAGCCTCCCACCAGCGGCAGAGTTTACCTCAGGGCACAGTTCTTCTGGTCTGTTCTTCAAATTGAGTTCCTGCTGCTTGGGATGGAAGAATTACCATAAAAGGATTTTAAAAGCTCAATAAAACAGAGAAACTGACTATGGGTCATCCTTCAGTGACAAAGGACTCTTGAACTCCCCCCAAAAAACTATGACAACTGTGAGTAAAATGTTTTGTGGTGAAGTTTTCAGGACTCTGTGTTTTCTGGAGCATGGTGCCTTTAAGTAAAACCCTGCAGAACCTCAGTTCATGCATGACCCCCAGGAATCTGGCTCAGAAAACAAGACTTGGGGTGGGGTTGGGACTGGGGAGGGTCAGAATGCACAGTGGTTTTATTATTTTTGGAACCAATCTCTGTGTTTGAGGAGGGGTCCTTTCCATGAGCAGGATATAAATGGCAAGCTGCTTGGGGGCAGGGATTTCCATTGGTTTGGTTCACTGCTGGATCTTGAGTACATGAAACGGTGCCTGACACACAGTAGGCACTCAATAAATATTTGTGCAATAAGTCATGACTATTCCAGGGCAGACAGACTGACAGATCTCTTTCTAAATGTTGTCCCAGATAAACGCCTCTTTCTCTGTGGGAGCTTGGCTTACAAAAAGGCCACACTAGACAATACAAACATCCTGCCAAAGGTCAATTATGGGCACAAAGGCAGGAAATTGGACTGCAGGCCTGAAGGGACAGAATGCTTAGCCTTACAATGGTGCTGATGAAAAGCAGCAGGTACAGCCCTATGGGTCTGGTCGGGTAGAGGACCTCCCATGTTACATTCTGTTCTGTTGTTTTTTACATCAATCAAGAATTTCCCCCAACCAATCCAATTACTGCCTTTCAACCGTCAGATGCCGCTGTGCAGATAATACGTTTTCTTCATTGCTGCTCATCAGATGGTATCTTTTTATTCATGTCTGCTCAAGTGTCTTTGGTTTCCCAGGCCCCTGAGTGAATGTGTAAATGAATAAGGTTTGAGCACTATGAGATCATGCTCTCTCTTTCCCACAGTGACTTGCGGAGGCACAGCAGGTTAAGGCTGCATTGTAGCTTGGAGCAGTGAGAGTCTTTATCATTCAGGCACAGGAAGAAAAGGGGCAAGGGGAGATGGAAGGATCAGATTGCAACCTTTAAAAGCAGCTCATCATATAATTGGATCAGGCTGCTGCAATCAAAGAAGCTGCCATGTGGTTTAGGCAGACAATGGCCCGAGAGAATAAGACGTCTACACAGAAGAGGGACAATTAGAGCATTGCCCAAGTTTCTGTCTTTCAGGCTTTAGTCTTTCCAATCAAAACCTCAAAGGCCTTGTTACTGTACTATGGAGCCAGGGTACAGAACTTGGACAACAGACTCCAGTTCAGAGGACTGAACTCCCCAGACAGGCTATGCATTTGCATTTTGGATGACCTGAGATGAACTCACTGAGAAGACCAATGAATTAGGAGGCTGGAGTCTTGAAATCTGGTCCCAGCTTTGTCATTCTTGTATGACTTAGGTCAAGCACTTCTTTCTGTGGGCCTCACTGTCCCTATCTGTAAAATAGGAAAAACAATCCTCTCTCACTTACTCTAAAGCTGTTGTGTGAGGGTCATGTGTTCAAAGTGCTTTGAAGAAGGTAAAATATAGGTAATACATACATATAGGGCATTACTAGATGATGATCAACCCACAAGCCTTCTAGGACAGGGAATAAGTACTAGGCTCTATCCTTACAGTGGGTTGGTGTCAGACGCGTTTGAACCAGAGCCATCTTGAGTGAGTGCTAAGACAATGGGGCTGGGACTTGCTGGGCTACGTTCCCAGAAAGTTAGGTATTCCGAGCCTCCAGATGTTTATGGTTAAGGGAACAGATTGACAGTGTTTACTAAACAGACCCAGACTTAGGAATGTCCTGATATCCTGATATCTTGAGAACAGAAGCACTCCTAATTTTGCTTTAAATATAATAATATTGATTCTTGCAAAATACAGTAATTAAGAAAATTAATCCTCTATCACAAACCCTTGTAACAGAACACATCTCCTCAAGATCTTTTTTAATCCTATATATAAACAAGTATCGTACCTAGGGTGCATGCATTCCTCCTTACTTTCAGAAACACCCTACTCTGTCTATGGAGTAGCTGTACTTTCACCACTTTACTTTCTTAATAAACCTGCTTTTGCTTTGCACTGTGGACTCGCCCCAAATTCTTTCTTGAATCCAAGAACCTTCTCTTGGGATCTGGATGGGGACTGCTTTCCTGTAACATTGGGATCTCTCTAAAAACAGCAACAAGCCACCAAAACTCCTCTCTTCCATGGGTGGAGAAGAAATAGGGCTCCAAACACTCTGTGGAGCATCCATGACCGGCATCCTGGGCTGAGAAGCAAGGCCCTATGCAGAGCTCCCCAGGGTTCTGCGTCACTCACAATCCAGCCACCTCCGTCCGTGTCCATGTCGCAGTACACCTGCAGGGGCCGGCTGGCATCGCCGTGCAGGTAGATGGTGTACAGACCACTGGCGGCATTGCTGTTCTGCTGAACCTGACTGCAGTCCGAAGGGTGTGGGAAACGGGCACCAACTGGGAGCCAAGCAGAGAGAGTATCGTTAGGAGCAGGGCAAGGAGGAAAGAGGTGGAGTTTCTCCCTATGTTAAGGCAACTTATTTTGTTTGGAAATCATTTTGTAACTTCCTACTTTAGCTTCTTCCAACTCTTCACTCATACCTTATTTTTCTCTTCAACTCCCCAAATGTACCAGGAAAAAGTCAAGTTCACATCACCTCCTCCCCCAACTCAACTGCCCCATAAAATAACACTCTCTTTCACTCCTCTCTTTAGCCTCCCCATTGTGGGATGGATTTCTTTTGAACACATAACTCCATTTCCACTTCCCCATGCCTAGAGAAATCAATAGTTCTGCATCCACTTGCTCCTCCCTGGACTGCTTTGCTAGCCTCTCCAATGCCGGTTCTCACTGCATGGTCGTTCAGAGCACAGGATTCCACATTACCTGTGGAGAGGGTGGTGGATACATTTCTGCTCCGGAGACCACCCTTAAAGGCAACAAGGGAGACAGGGTAGGTGGCACCTTGCTCCAGGCCTTGCAACTCAAACCTCTGGTCTTCTCGTCCCAGCTGTATCTCCTACCAAACCAGGCAGATAACAGACAGCTAGTGACTCAGTTTATCACCCACTAGCACCCTAGGTGTCAACAGCATTCCCGGGTACTAATGACAGAAGCTCTCTGAGGGCACAGTCTTTTGTCTCTCTGAAGCCTCAGTGGCAGCCCAGAATCACAGTGGGTCCCAGCCACTTCTCTGGAGAGCCATGCCATGGAGAGTCAGCACCACTGGGAGCATCAGCTGAGAGCCAGTACCCAGGACTGCAGCTTCAGGATTACCGGCCAAGTTTCTGGGATACTTTGGCCTTCAGATACACACAGGGGCTCTAACTACAGCCATCGCTGGCAGCAACAGGCTGGTAATGCCGGGCTAAGAAGAAATTAATAGGGGAGGTGAAACTGGCTACTGATATCTGAGACAAGGAGATAGTTGGTATTTCAATAAACTTCCTTCTGAACCGGTCTTACTTCCTCTATAAACATAGGGCTAATCTTCCTAGTGGTGCTGTCATAAGCACTAATTAAGATAACAAATAAACCTAAGTGTCCTTCCTGTTTTTCCTTCCTCCCTTCTTTCTTCATTGGCAAGGAGGGAGAATAATAATTTTCCATTGGGACAGGTTTTGAAAATTTGCTGGCCTTCAGATTCTAAGGGGAGCTATAACCCTTGAAATAAGGGTTAATCAATTCGTTCAATAAATATATATCAAACACCTACCATGTGCTAAGCACTGTCCTATGCACTTTAGATATGGTGATAAATGAAACAAACATAGAGCTTACATTTATTAAGGAAGACTAACCATAAACAAAATAACCCGGAGCAGATGTACAAGCAGCAATGTGATCAATAAAGATCAGCAAGCTGCCATGAGGCCAGCAAATGAGCGGATTGGCCCAAGTTAGTTGCTTCACACAGAAGAGAAGGCACCAGGAGAAAAGACAAGGAATCCCCCGTACCTTAACTGTGCCGTCTGGGAACTGGTAGGTCAGAATGTAGCCATGGATCTGAGCAGAGGGGGGTGTCCAGGTCAATACGCCATCAGACTGCGTTACAGCAGATGGACGAAGGTTTCTGGGAGGGTCAATTTCTGTACGTAGAAAGTCAGGTAATTGTTATTACTAAGATACAACTGAGGTAAAGTAATTTTTGAGACACCAGTTTATATTTTCCCCTTTCAAACCCTCCCATTTCTCCTCCTTCTTTCAAGCAGTTTGCAGACTCTCTTCCTCCCTGCCACAGGGCCTTTCTGACCTTTGTTTCTAAAAGTACAGACCCATTAGAGACAAGAAGAACAGGGCATTGGGTGGGTCCCAGAGGAAGGGAAAGAGAAAGAAAGAAAGAGAGAGAGAGAGAGAGAGAAGGAAGGAAGGAAGGGAGGGAGGGAGGGAGGGAGGGAGGGAAGGAAGGAAGGAAGGAGAGAAAGGAGGAAAGAGAGAAAGGGAGAAAGGGAGAAGGAAAGAGAAAGAAAGAAGAAAGAAAAGAAGGAAAGAGAAAGAAAGAAAGAAAAGAAAGAAAGAAAGAAAGAAAAAGAAAGAAAGAAAGAGAGAGAAAGAAAGAAAGAAAGAAAGAGAAGGAAGGAAGGAAAAGAGAAGGAAGGAAGGAAAAGAGAAGAAAGGAAGAGGTGGGGGAGGGAGGAGGGAAAGAGAAGGGATATAGGAAAAGCAGAGCTTTTCTTCAATGTACTTCCTCACCCAAACACTAGAGGGAAAGCAAGTGTGTAAGCAAGCATGGGTAAGCAAGTGTGCACTGTAGACCAGGAAAACGAAAGCTCAGTAAAAATACTAGTCAACATCATAACTGGTCAGAAGCCTCTTTTTTTTTAACCAAAGAAGATATGAATGGAAATTTCTTTTTTGAAAAAGCATTAACACAGAAGGTTATTTTAATTTAGAACTTCCCAAAAAGACGCCTCCAGGCTATTTTCTACCCAGTAGCATTTCAGCTGAGAACTGAATTGCAGTATTTTAATAGAAATCAGACAGCTGTTGTTTTGAATTAGTATGTTTTGACAAATTTTGAGTTTCTGTAATATCAACTTGGTTTGATTTTCTAAAGCATAACATCTGGCATGGATTTTATTCTAGTCGTCTCACAGAAAAACCGAATTTCCTGATTTCATAATCAAGGCAAAACTGTGGCTATTTTAATATCTTAAGCAATCTCCTGCCACCTCTTTGCCCACCACCCCCTGGTTATGGACTAAAGATGTATGTCTTAGTTACTTTCACATTTCTATGGAGCAGGAAAATAAGAATTTTTTTTATTGCTGTCTTCAAAAATGGAGAAGGTGAAACCAAGAGAAGATAAAGAAGAAAGAGGAGAAGAAAGGAATAAGGGAGAAAGAAACAGAGAAAGGAAGGGGAGAAGGAGGTAGGAAGTGGGAAAAAGGGAAGGAGGGAGAACTGGCTACTGGTTGCATCTGGAGAGCAACACTGCATACTAGGGAGTCCAGGACAAAGAGAAGAATTGTTTGTTTGTTTGTTCTTGAGACGGAGTCTCGCTCTTGTTGCCCAGGCTGGAGTGCAATGGTGCAATCTTGGCTCACTGAAACCTCCTCCTGGGTTCAAGCAATTCTCCTGTCTCAGCCTCCCAAGTAGCTGGGATTACAGGCACCTGCCACCACACCTGGCTAATTTTTGTATTTTTAGTAGAGACAGGGTTTCTCCATGTTGGTTAGGCTGGTCTCAAACTCCTGGCCTCAGATGATCCGCCCGCCTCGATCTCCCAAAGTGCTGGGATTACAGGCATGAGCCTCTGTGCCCAGCCATTTTTTTTTTTTAACACATCTCTGTTTAGTTTGAAAATATTTACTACAAGCATATATTACTTTTTAGATTAAAAACGCAAGTTAATTTTAACTAATAAAGATCATAGAGAAATTCAAGACATCTCTAGGTCCTGCGGCAACATTTGGTGCATTCAACCATGGACGGAATGGACAGACCTTGCCCGCGCTGCCTGAAGAGGCCCACAGACCTCAAGGTGGGCACAGTGCTGTCTTCCAAGTGCTTTTGGGTTCTGACCTCCCTGGTGCTCCGCCAAGACCAGAGGCCCCATCACACACACAAAATACATGCAGTTCAGGTGCCTTTTCTCATCAACTGAGGATGGAAAGGAGAAAGATGCACCCCCTTTGCCTCCATTGTGGAAGATGGAAAGAGAAGAGGCTCCTGCCTCTATCTTCTCCCAACTGCAGCTAAGGCCCAACCATTTTCTCCATAGCAAGTGTGGAGAGTCTGAGCGCTGGGCCAGGTGGAGGGGTGAGGGAGGCCGCCTTTGACACCAGCACTCCCTCTACACTCTCTTAGCTGCACTGTTGGGTCAACTTAATTATCTCAAAGACATAAAAAAGGAACCACTTTGAAGAATGCCCTCAGGTAAAGCAACCACCCTCCTGCTCCCTTCCCCAGCCCATGGAGGAAGGTTCTCTCCTGGTAAGTGTGAGGGGTTCCCCTGGCCTGGTCCCTCTCAGTACCTGTCTGGGCCTTGGTGTCGGTCTTCTTGCTCTCCTGGTCCCCCTTCTGGGCCCACACGTGCACCATGTACTCCATGCCCGGTCTCAGGCCCGTCAGGACGGTGCTGCTGTGCTCCTTCCCCACCGGAACCTCCCTGGTCTCTCCATCCGCAGAGGTGTAGCGCACCACATACTTGTCAATGGTGGCCTGCACCGGGTCCCAGGAGACAGTGGCCATATTCTCTGTCACCCGGTCAGTCATCAGGTTTTTGGGGCTGTCAATTTCTTTTTAAAAGGATTTAGAAAAGGCTGAACTTTAGAACAAAGGAGGGCATCCCATCTTACCACCCCATCACCAGGCGCTCTCCATCATGTTATCATTAGTAACGGTAGAATTCTACTTAAAACACCAGTCAAAGGCCCCTGGTCTCCATTTCCAAGGAAACAAACCACTGGACATAAAACTGGAAGGAATCAGATCTTCTCCCAGTTTTTATATATAAAAAATTTCTGTCCTTGTAATTCTCACCAAAATAACAATAAAACTTGCTAAGCAACAAGACGAGCCACCAAAACTGCTGTGGATATAACCTCTTTTCTAATCTCCCTGGTATCTAGTTACTTTGAGAGCCGAGGTCATATCCTCCAACCTTTCTGACTTATAAAACAGGAGGAGAATGCAGGCCCAGGGAAATGGAGGGTACAGGCTAAGTTCCTGTTGACATCTTATGTTAAAGCCAAGACTCTTCACTCTGAATTTTGGGCCCTCCCACCCTCTCAAGGACTTTGCTGCGGATCTGCCCTTTCTCTCCTGTGTCATCAATCTCTTCTTCTCTGTCATCAGACCCAGACAAGCAAGGTCTAGAATCCCCCATCCTCCCCCATATCATTCCATTTCTCTGCAACTCTAAACTGACAGATTGTCTCAAGAGAAATGTCTACATACCCAACTTCACTGCTTACTCTCCAATCAATTGTGTTTGCATCTTTCTATGCCACACAACTAAATCTGCTAGTCTAAGTCACCAACAACATCTGTATTGCCACCTCTAATGGATACTTGCCTTTCTCAACTTTACACTGCTTCTGGGTGGCATTTGGCAGAGCTGATCCATGCCCTCCTTCTTGAAACACTCTCAACCCTCAGCTTCCGTGACTACACACTCCCTTGATTTTCCTAACTCACTGGCTCTTCTTCAGTTATTTGTCAGCAACCTTCAAACACTGGAGCACCCAAAGCTCCCTTTCTTTGTTGTTTGCTTTGTTTTGTTTTGTTGATACAGAGTCTCGCTCTTTCACCCAAGCTGGAGAGCAGTGGTGCCATGATAGCCCACTGCAGCCTTGACCTCCCAGGCTCAAACAATTCTCCCACCTCAGCCTTCTGAGTAGCTGGGAATACAGGCGCATGCCACCACACTCAGCCAATTTTTGTATTTTTTTTTTTGTAAAGACAGGATCTCACCAGGCTGGTCTTAAACTCCTGAGCTCAAGCAATTCACCTACCTTGGCCTCCCAAAATTCTGGGATTACAGGTGAGAGCCACTGCACCTGTCTCAAAGCTCCCTCTTTTCCTCTCTCTGCTTTTCCGCCTAGGTGATCTCACTCATGCCCGTGGCTTTAAATACCAACTAGATGCTAATCGCTCCACAATATCTATTAATTCTGAGCCCCTCACTAGTTTATACAACTGCATCTCCACCACAGTGCCTGGCCTGTATTAGACACTCAATACATATTTATGTAATCAATAAATGAATCACTCAGCTAACAAGGAATCTCACAAGTATCTTGAACTTAAATATTTAAAAGTCTTGATGTTCCTCCCCAAACTTTTTATTTCTCAGTCTCCCCTCTCAAGAAATGGTAGTTCAATCTCCCATGTTGCTCAAATAAATAACACAGGTCATACCTGAGTCCTCATTTTCTTCCTACCTCAAATCTATCAACAGGTATTATCATCCATACCTCAAAAATATATTCCAGACATCCCCTCTTCTCTATCCCTTTTGCCATCACACTTATCTAGACAATCAGCATTTTGCACCCAGACTTTTCTAGCAGCTTCTCTACGAATCTCCCCACTTCTATCCTTGTCATTTTATCCATTTATTCTCCTCACTGTGGCCTGGAAAGTGTTTTTTAAATGAACACTGCATCATATCACTCTTCTAATATTAATAAATATAGCCCACTTTGTCCTCTAAGCACCACACGGTCCTGGCTGACCTGCCCCTGCTCCTCTCACCTCATCTCAGGCTACTTGCTCTCCCACCCACTATGCTCCAGCAAAACTAGCCTCTTTTCATTTTCCAGCCATCCCCGGTACTGTTCCAGCTGAGGGACATCACACACACTCTTCCCTCTGCCAGAAATGGCTAGTTTTCGCCAACATCCATTCTCCCCCTTCTTCTGTAAGCATACTCACTGTCCAACAGATCTCTCTGCAATGATGAAAGTATTCTATGATCGGCACAGTCCGATACTGTAGCCATTAGTCACATGTGGCTACTGACCATTTGAAATGTGGCTAATCCAGATAAGAAAATTTTTTATTTTAATTATTTTTAATTAATTAAAATTTAGGCTGGGCATGGTGACCCATGCCTGTAATCCCAGCAGTTTGGGAAGCCGAGGCAGGAGGATCACTTGAGCCCAGGAGTTCAATATAGTGAGACCCCATCTCTAAAAATAATTAAAAATTAGCTAGGTTTAGTGGCATGTGCCCATGGTTCCAGTTACTTGGGAAGCTGAGGTGGGACGATGGCTTGAGCCCAGGAGGTCAAGCCTGCAGTGAACAGTGATAAAACCACTGTATTCCAGCCTAGCTAACAGAAAGAGACCCTGTCTCTGAAAATAAAATAAAAATAAAAATAATTTTAATAGCCACATGTAGCTAGCAGCTGCTGTGTTGGACAAGACAGCATAACTGAAGTAAAGCTGGGCACAGGGCCATCCAGCTAAAGACCTCATTTCCTAGCCTTTTGTGCAGTGAGGTCTGTCTGGGACCTGGCAATGGAACATGAGAAGGGCTGATGTGTACAATGTCCCAGTGATGCCCTGACCTTCAGCATGCCTCTTCCCACTGGCTACAATGCAGACAGGGTGGTGACCAGGTAAAGGAGGGCAACTTGCTAGGGATGACTAAGCAACAATCACAGAAGCAGCCTGGGTCTCCTGGATGAGGAGCGACCGTATCAGCCCTGGCCATTCTTCAGAGAGGAATACACTCCTTTCCTGCTGAAGCAACTGTTGTTTGAGTGTTTCTGTCAATGTATAGCAATAGCATAGCAATCCTATTACTACTCACCCTTCCCATCTACAAGACATCCTTACCCTGTAATTCTCTATACCTATACCATGTTCATCTCCTTCAGAGAATTTAGCACAATTTACAAGTTTAAATGTGTTTTCTTATTTATTGTCTATCTTCACACTAGACTTCAAGATAGTAGAGATATTTGTTTTGTTCGGCACTGTGTTCCCCAGGCCTGGCACTTAGATGATGCTCATTAAGTCAGTTGCCTACTGCAAGGAAACAAGGCTCCAGCCGCCGAGGTGAATACTTACTCCTTTCTATCACACAGCGTCTATTCGGTCAAACCTACACAAAATAGCTTGCCACAAAACAGGTTTTTAATCAGTGGTTTTAAGAATTTTATATTGGTTTTACATTATTTTCTACAATTGTCTATAGCTGAGAGACACAATGATTGAAAACACAGGCTTTGGAAAGAGTTCTAAGACATTCGTGGGAAAAGACATTCGTGGGACTGCTCCCACTGGGTCCAGTACTATAGTTTTTCAGACACGCTTGAACCAGAGCAACTCCATCTTGAACAGGAACTGGGTCAAATAAGGGTGAAACCTACTGGGCTGCATTCCCAGACAGTTAAGGCATTCTAAGTCACAGGATGAGACAGGAGGTCGGCACAAGATACAGGTCATAAAGACCTTGCTGATAAAACAGGCTGCAGTAAAGAAGGCAGCCAAGACCCACCAAAACCAAGATGGCAATGAGAGTGACCTCTGGTCATCCTGACTACTATACTCCCACCAGCGCTATGACAGTTTACAAATGCCATGACAATGTCAGAAAGTCACCCTGTATGGTCTAATAAGGGGAGGTATGAATAATCCACCTCTTGCTTAGCATATCATCAAGAAATAACAATAAAAATGGACAACCAGAAGCCCTCAGGGCTGCGCTGCCTATGGCTAGTAGCCACTCGTTGATTCCTTTACTTTCCTAATAACTTGTTTTCACTTTACTCTATGGACTCACCCTGAACTCTTTCTTCCATGAGATCCAAGAACCCTTTCTAAGGGTCTGGATTGGGACCCTTTTCCTGTATCCTGTAACACTTTGTTCTTTCTTTAGGTGAATGAAAGTTTTTGTTTTGTTTTTTGTCTTTTTTTTTCTCACAGCAAACTCTCCTAAAACACTCTGCAGCCCTGCAGTTACAGATGCCAAAAGCAGCTGCATCACCACTCAGCTGCAATAGATCAACCTGCATAACTACCCCGGTTTGCTCTTCTCTTCACTCCTATTACCTGTCTGGGCCTTGGTGTCAGCCTTCTTGCTCTCCTGGTTCCCCTTCTGGGCCCACACGTGCACCGTGTACTCCACGCCCGGCCTCAGGCCCGTCAGGACGGTGCTGCTCTGCTCCTTCCCCACTGGAACCTCCCTGGTCTCTCCATTGGCAGATGTGTAGCGCACCACATACCTGTCAATGGTGGCCTGCACCAGGTCCCAGGAGACAGTGGCTGTATTCTCTGTCACCCGGTCAGTGACCAGGTTTTTGGGGCTGTCAATGTCTGGAAAAAAAAAAATGCTGATCAATATGCACTATGAACAGGTCCCAGAGTGCAGAAACTCATGACCATTTTGCGTGGGGTGAAACCCTTTCATGTTTTATGGGGTTTCCGCCTCATATGCTCTTGTTTCGTTTTTAGCTGTTTCATGGACATCATCTTCTCCCCCGAGATACACCTGGCTCCTCAAGTAGAAAGCAAAATAGATCAGAACCTGAAAATCCAGGCTGTTACCTCTACCAAGTCTTTAGCAAAACAAATCTTTTATTCATCTAGAAAGGGTATATCAAACCCCAACTCTATGCACGAAATGTTCTAGACAGTGTGCAGAATCCAGAGTTGGGAAATACATGGTCTCTGCTCACAAGGAACTAACAATTTTATGTCTGGCATCATGTCAGTAAAGACCTCCTATTTCATACTAGAAGATTCTAAAAGCCACCCCTAAATATAAGCCCCTGGAGGGAAAGGGCAGCATCCTATTCTCCTGTGTTCCCAGTGCCTAGTAGTGGGCAGGACACATGGATAGTACTTACTATATATTATTAAATAAATCAGCAAAAAGTAAAACCCTGGGTGAATATTCTCTAGTATATCATAGATTCACTCATCATGCTGGTTTGCTGATTAAATCACGGTACAAAATATGGTTAGATATTGCTTCCACTAAAATAAGAATGTAACGCAAGAGCTGTCCTTATCCTCAAAACTCTGGCCAATGTATACTCTGCTGTTCCACAGAGGGGAACATGCTCTTTTCTTGTTTAAGCAACAGTTATTTGGTTGTTCTGGTCATGTGTATCCTATTGCTATTTACCCATCCTATCTGAGAAACATCACTACTTCATTATTCTCTACACCTATACTGTGTCATTTCCTTTATAGAACTTATCATAATTTCTAGTTATAAATTTGTTTTATAGTTATAACATGATTCATTTGTCATAAACCAAATGATATATGTCTCCTTGCTATGGCAGATGTGACGTCTACATTCTTAAAGTCAAATTTTCAGTATACTATTGACAAAATTTGATTTTCATTTCCTGTTCCCACTCACAGACTCACTAAGAGACCCTTGATACTGTCTACGGCAAAAGATCCATGCAATCAGAAGAGGAGCTGATGGACATGACCATGTAATCATAGCTTGGAGACTGCCATGTGGCCCTGACTTGCAAGGAAACTAGTTAAAGGAAAATGAGGGATGGTGTGTGTAATCTGTTATGAAAGGATGGACGCCATCCCACTCTTCCATTAATCATTGATTTCTGCCAATGTCAGAGAAGGAAAACAAAACTTGTCATCCATTGACTTAGCATGAAAGCTCTTATATTCCCAAAGAACAATGCTCCTTACCTGTCTGGGCCTTGGTGTCAGCCTTCTTGCTCTCCTGGGCCCCCTTCTGGGCCCACACGTGCACCGTGTACTCCACACCAGGCCTCAGGCCTGTCAGGACAGTGCTGTTCTGCTCCTTCCCCACCGGAACCTCCCTGGTCTCTCCGTCCTTGGCAGAGGTGTAGCGCACCACATACCTGTCAATAGTGGCCTGCACTGGGTCCCAGGAGACAGTGGCCATATTCTCTGTCACCCAGTCAGTCACCAGGTTTTGGGGGCTGTCAATGTCTGAAAAAAAAAATTGCTGATCAGTAAACACTATTAACAGGTAGCAAAGAGTGAGATCTGGGCATTTCACTTGTGGTGAGGCAGTTTCCTGTTCTTATGGTTTCTCCGTATCACATGCTGGTTTTCAGTTATTTCATGGATGTAGACCTTATCCCCACAGCTGGATTCTTGGATTTTCAATAAAGCAGCACAGGAGAGTGGTATGAGTACTAAATCCAAAGTCAGAAGAACTGGGTTCTAGTTCCAGCCCAGAGAGGCAGAGTAGAGGTGCAGGGTGGAGCCAGGTTACTAGCAATCTAATCCCAGCTCTGCCACCTGCCAGCTGTGGCTCTGGACAGTTCAGTTGCTGCTGGCTGGGCCTCAGCTTCTTCATCTGTAAAATCTGAGGTTTGGGTTTGATAAACTTTTAAGATTCCTTCAAGCATGAATATTCCATGCATGTAACTAATTTCATAACTTACTAACTTGTTTTTGTGACTTTGGGCAAATTGCTTTGCTTTACTTTACTTCTGTATTTGTTAAAAGTGGTTGTTAGTGATTATTGCACTTACCACACTCTGAGTAGCTCTGTAAACCAAGAGAAAAAAATGTTATGTAGCAAAGGGCTTTGAAAATGTTAAAGTATTACAGTGTTTACCACTCTGAAGCCACAGAACATTTACTCTATAATTTAAAACGTAATTAAGGGCAAACCTACCTCTCTGCCTCAATTTTCTCCACAAGAGAAAAAAAGGCAGGGAAAAATAATATTAGTACATATTCTACAGAATTATTGTGAGTATTATATGAGTTAATAACATGTTTCCCAGTGTGATGTCAGCAAGATGGCCGATTAGAAATCCCTGACACTCATCTTCTGCACAAAAACAACTACAACAAAGAATAAACAACAATATTTTTTAAAAAACTAAAGGAGAGTGCAGGATTATATCAAAGGAGAAACAGAGACTCTGGTAAGCACAGAAACTCAGGATAGCCAGATAGAGAACAGAAGGAAACCCTGGGATCCCAGCACTCCATTGCCCAGCTAAGAGCAGCTGGAAACCAGGAAGAACTTCTCCCTACAGCAAAAGGTAAGCAAGAAGATCCCAGTAGCCCCTATCAGCACCTTGTACACCTACCATCATCACCACTGGGATCTCCTACAGCTCTCACAGGCACTAAGCCCAGCTGAGGGAGCTGCCTACAGGCACACAACTATGCTCCTTAGAGATGGAGCCAATACTGTGCCCCATCCTCTGTGGCCTGCATGGCTACTGTGCTACACCGTCTTGGCATCTTGGAACCGGGACTACTGTTGGAATGTGTCTTGCTCTGGGGGTGAGTAGCCATTCACCCCTTCATCCCTGAGGGTAAACTGCTGCTGAGACACCACCACTCAGTGACCTGACATCTCCAAGCAGAGCTGTGAGCAACTGTTACACCTTTCCCCATGGGGCGAAGCAGCAGTGGAACCACTCCACATCCCCATCCCCTACCCACTCATTCCAGAGCTGAAGCTGTACCCTCTTCCCTGGAGAATCAGTACTTTGGTAAAACAGCTCCACCCACTTCTCTCACACTAGGCAGCACCCTACCCATAGGGGCCTAAGCCGAAACTGCACTAGTTTCAGTTCCTAAGTGAACAATGCTTTTGGCAGAGCCCTATATCCCAGGACAATGGTGTTGAGGCTATCTAGAATAGTCACATCCCTCAGGACTGAACTGGAGTGGCACATTGCCTGCTGGGGAATCAGTGCCTCAGCCAAGCTGAGCAGCTGTATGTCCTAGGGCTGTGCTGACATAGTATCCTAGGTCCCAGGGAAATACAGCAGTGGCTGGCTGAGACACCCCACCTTACTGGCCAGACAGCTCTAGTATTCTGCTTCTTTAGAGCTGGAGTAGGCCCCTTGAGTCTGAGCTCCTGAGACACCCTTCTCCCAGGGAGTAGAGTCATTGCTGTGCTGCTCCCTGCCCTGGTACAGCCCAAAAAACAGTGTGCTTGATTATTTTGGGGAGCTTGCTGCTGCTGCATCTGGCCTCACAGAGACTGGGATACTGTCAAGCCCCACCATTGCAGAGTCTAGAATCACCACTACAGAATTCCTCACCCCTAGGGATCCAGTTGCCACTGAGATCTATTGGTGCAGTTTCCCAAATTACAGCAATTACAGCCATATCTTGCACTCTGGGTTCACACTTCCAGAGCCCTTCTTTCTCTTCCAAGTTAAACCAGGGCTGCACCCTGCCCACCAGGGGTAGAATTACAGTTACAACCTGACCCCCTGAAGCCAAGCTGATAGGCACCATGGGCAACCTATATCCAGCCCTGACACAGAGACCACTCTGCATCCCAAGACTGAATGCCACTATAGGTTCACAAGACCCTGAGCCTAAGTAAGAACTTGCCCCACAGTTGCTTTGAGCACCTGTATTTGAAATCCAGTGCCTTGGCAGCTGCTTCTATGCCATGTCAGACCTGACACCAAGAGAGAGCCCTTCAGCTAAGTCTTCCCATTATGGGGAAAATAAGAATAGAATAGCCCTTGCCACAACAGCCCTTGCCACCAAGGACATTAACAACCTATGCTGCCACCACCACTACCACAAACTTCTGTAGTCTAGGCCACTGATATGTTCATAGTTATTGCTGATGTCAAACACAGTCAAAGAAGCTGCACAAAGACTATACCACTGAACTTACAAGAACCACCCCTCCCAACTGGCGCATTAAAATTCAACCAAGGTAAAAGTATTTCTCTAAGAAAGTCACTCTAGAAAGTTTGGAAGAAGCAATTGTTCAACCAGACACACAGACCTCAATGCAGGGACACAGGGAACATGAAGAAAGCAAGAAAATATGACACCACCAAAGGAACATAATAACTCTCTAGAAACAGACCCCAATTAAAAAGAAATCAATACATTGTCAGAAAAGGAATTCAAAATAATGATCTTAAGGAAACTTAATGAAATTCAAAAAATACAGATAGACAATTTGATGAAATCAGAAAAATAATACATGATATGAATGAGAAATTCAATGAAGAAATAGATATCACAAAAAAGAAACACAGCTAACAAATTCAAAGAATGAAATTTAAAAATATAATGAAGAGTTTCAACAGCAGATTTGATCTAGCAGAAAAAAAGGAATCGCTGAACTTGAAGATAAATTGTTTGACATTACCCAGTGAGAGAAAAAAAGAAATAAAAATGAAAAAGAGTAAAGAAGGCCTACAAAACCTATGGTATACTATTAAGTGAATAAATATTCATATTATAGGAGCTCCAGAAAGAAAAAAGATGTAAAAAGGTATAGAAAACCTACTTAATGAAATAATAGCTGAAAACATCCCAAGTCTGGGGAGAGATATGAATATTCAGATCCAGGAAGCTCAAGTCCCTAAATAGATCCAACCCAAAAAAGGTGCTTCCTGAAGTATATTACAGTCAAGTTGTCAATAGTCAAAGACAAAGAGAAAATTCTCAAAACAGTAAAAGAAAAGTGTTAGGTCACATATAAGGGAATTCCCCTTAGACTAACCATAAATTTCTCAGCAGAAATCTTATAGACCAGGAGAGAAAGCGATGATATAGTCCATGTATCTGAAAGGGGTGAAAAAAACTGTCAACTGAGAATACCATACCCAACAAGTCTATTCTTCAGAATGAGGGAGAAACAAAGTCTTTCCTAGAAAAGCAAAAACTGAGGGAACCCATCACCACTAAACTGGCTCTACAAGAAATGCTCAAGGGAGTCCTACATCTGGAAGCAAAAAGATGATAATCACAATCATGAGAACATCGAAAAGTATAAACTCACTGGCAGAGCAGATATACAAAGGAGAAAGAAAAGGATCAAGCCTCAATACTACAAAAACCTACCACACCACAATAATAAACAATAATAGAAGAAGAAATTAACAAAGGATATACAAAATAATCTAGAAAACAATTTACAAATGACAGGAGTCACTCCCGTCCTATCAATAATAACCTTGAATGTAAATGGATTAAATTCCCCACTTAAAAGATAGACTGGCTGAGGCCGGGCACAGGGTTCATGCCTGTAATCCCAGCACTTTGGGAGGCTGAGGCAGGCTGATCACTTGAAGGTCAAGAGTTTGAGACCAGCCTAGCCAACATGGTGAAATCCCATCTCTACTAAAAATACACACACAGAAAAAAATTAGCCAGACGTGGTGGCACATGCCTATAGTTCCAGCTACTTGAGGGGTTGAGGTGGAAGAATCACTTGAACCTGAGAGGCAGAGGTTGCAGTGAGCCGAGATTACACCACTGCATTCCAGCCTGGGCAACAGAGTGAGGCTTTGCCTAAAAAAAAAAAAAAAAGATAGACTGGCTGAATGGATCTTTAAAAAATGACCCCCTTGTGTGCTACCTACAAGAATCTTCCTTCACCTGTGGAAACACATATAGATGCAAAGTGAAGGGATGGAAAAAGATATTCTATGTAAACAGAAACAGAAACCAAAAGCAAACAGGAGTAGCTATGCTTACATGAGATTAAACAGATTTTTTAAGTCAAAAGTATAAAAAGAGGCAAAGGAGGTTATTATGTAAAGAAAAAGAGATCAATTCAGCAAGAGGATACAAGTGAGATTTATTCCAGGGATGCAAGAATAGCTCAACATATACAAATCAATAAATGTGACACATCACAAACAGAATGAAGAATAAAAATACCATCTCAACAGAATGAAGAATAAAAAGATCATCTCAACAGATGTAAAAAGCATTTGATAAAATTCAACAATGTTTCATGATAAAAACCCTCAACAAGCTAGATATAAAAGAAGCATACCTCAACACGCTAAAGTCCATATAAGACAAAGCCACAGCTAACAATACACTGATTGGGGAAAAACTGAAAGCTTTTCTCTAAGAACCAGAACAAGACAAGGATGACCACTCTTACCACTCTTATTCAACATAGTACTGGCAGTCCTAGCCAGAGCAATTAGGCAACAGAAAAGAACAAAGAGCATCCAAATTGA